CCCGCCTCTGAGCTGGTATGTACAGGATGTAAACAGCATTGGTTTACACGAAGATGAGAATTAATTTGCAGATTTTTGTCTGTTCAAAAGAAGTAACCTTCTACGCTTCCATCGTAAAGCGCTTAAAACGAGGTCAGTAGAATTGCAAATGTAACAACCAAACTGCCTCTTCAATTCTTAGGGAAGCCCACATCACGCATAAACTTCGTCGAAAAGTCTCGCCGTTACCTGATTATAAACATTCAACAGAGTGAGGGTGCATCACCGCCGGCCTAAAGAAGTTCTAGCCGCGCCGTATCAGCCTCCCTGGGTGAACGATCTTGTCTTGTCGGTCGACTAGAATATCGGAGTTGTGGCGGAAGCATCGCTGTATGCTTTAGAATCTCTTTGGCCGAACATCTTGTAACCTGTGCAACAACATCAGCGCGTGACACAACTCTGTATAGCACTTACACATACATTCTATATCTACTATATTTATACATATAAAAAGTATATACATACACGCCACGCATGCACACATATTCGGACTACGTTATCACATTTCGGTTTTCTGAATCAACGAACTAAACACTTAAAATTAATTTAAAATAACATTACTCAATTCATGTCATTTCATTCCTAACAATCAAATCATAACGACACCGAAGCACCGTCCGCGGCAACAAACACATAACTTAGTCTCGCCTAGAGGTTGTAACGATACACATGCCCGCCACGAAGGTTCGCTTCGATTCACGAGTTCATGCGTACCATCACCGAATTCGAGTTCACGGATTCGATTATTTTTCACATAAAGCACAAACAACCAGTTTTTTTTGTCAGACAAAAACCCCCTAATTATTTTCGATTACAATGTGTGTGATTATAATAAACGTTCGCAAATCAACACTATAATGTTTTGCTATAGCTTAATTTATATAATAACGTTGAACTTCTTTAGTGAAGGCAGTCAAGTTAACACCAACTAACAATGTCAACTCACGAGTCACGTACGGACTGTGTGAGTGAGTGTGATAGACATAAACAATTAACCAATGAAACAAAGTAAACAAAGTAATACTGTTTCTAAAAAATAAAGACTAGAAGGTAGATCAGTTACGCATGACTCATGAGTATTTAGTACATAGTACATAAGCATCATACACCCAAAACAATATTCCCAATGCCACTTTAAACAAATGAACAATCAAGCAATGAGCATGAAGGCAAGTTGTCAAAAAGGCACAACATATTAAATTATAACTAGATGGACTAGTCATAAAGCATGGAAATAACAATAAAGTAACAGTCTTGTTTCAACTTTCAAGATATGGCCAAACTGTACATGTAAATAAAAATCTAATACGATTTAAAAAAAAACAAAAAAAAATTAAAAATTAAAAAAAAATCGAGAATCGCGTATTCATTGACCGGTGAAATCGTGATCGACGATTCGGGCTCTCATTGAAAATCGGTGAATTATCGCGATACCACGGATTGATCGGTACCACCGTCTAGTCTGCGCCGCCATACTTAGTTCCTAGCAACGACAGGAGGGCGCCACTGGCCTCCTACCTCTCGGACGCAAGGATCATCTTGCGACAGCATCGGGCTCGACGTGGGAACATCAGCCATGCGGCGTCCGAGCCTCGTCAGCTCCCCGAGGGTGGTTGAGGGCGCGAGCGCGTACAGCTGCTCGAGCGCGAGTATGAGCCGGTCTCGTGCAGGCGGCGGGTCCATGAAGTCGAACGGGTGGCATGACGGTCGTTGATTACGAGAGTTTACAGCAGCAGCACGACGTTGCCCAGGTAATCGGTGCGCTGGATCCTGCAAAGCGCCACAGGCGGGGGACGCGTGACAACACAGGCGCGTGGACAGCAGGGGTGATGCGTGACTGACGTGTGACAAACACAGTAAAAGCGTGACAGCAGGGGTGCCACGTGGACGACGTGTGACAAACACAGAACGTGACAGCAGGGGGGACGCGGGGACTGACAGTGCTGACAACACATGAAGCGTGACAGCAAGGGGGACGCGTGACGACGTGTGACAAAACAGAACGCGGTGACAGCCAGCGGGACGCGTGACGAGCGTGTCTGACAACACATGAGAGCGTGACAGGCAGGGTGCGTGACGGACCGTTGTGACAACACATGATGCGTGACAGCAGGGGACCGCGTAGAGGCGACGTAGTGACAACACAATGAACGCGTGACAAAGCAGGCCGGACGCAGTGGGACGGTGTGACAGCCAACGCGCTGACGACGCTGTACAACACCAGTGAAGCGGGACAGCATGGGGACGGCGTGGAGGACGCTCGTGACAAATTTCCACAAGACAAATCCTTGGTAGACAGCATGTGGGAGGCTACATGAGAAGCGATGCAAGTTGTGGACAAACACAGACCAGCGGGATGTGTGACGATCGGGGGTGTGGGACGCTGGCTGAGATGTTGTCTTGATCGCTCTGGGGTCAGATGTGGGTCTTTATTTTGGGTTAAGGTGTCTTCGGTGTTAGTGGATGCGCACGTGTGGACATCAACTGCACAACATGAGCAGTCAGGGGACATGTGTGTCATTCGTGACACATCGACGACGAGTTGAGTGGGGTGACGACATGTTACGTTGTGTGCTGTAATCAGATATCTGGAGTGGGGTGATCATGTGTGATGACACGGAAAAATGTGGGACCGCTGTCCGGTGTGGGGACTATATTGCTGTTGACGAATTATGGTCTGTATCTTGTTGTGATGTGTCAGTGTGTGATTTCTTCATTTTTTTGTGACGATTCACATGTTGACATACCTGATTTGAAAGGGTGGGTGGTGGGTCTTCGGGACGCGTGATGACGTGTGAGTCATATTTTATGGTTTTTGGGATGCGTGTACAACACTCGAAGTGTGTACAGCGGAGTCATTGTGAGTGGAGTGTTCTTTCGTGGTTGGGTGCGACATGTGACGACACGTGGGGCCTTTACATCTGTAATACCTGTAGGAATTACTGTGTGTTGATAGTTGCGTTGTCGTGTATGTGTATGAGTTTTTGTGTGGTATGACGAGATGTGCAGTGGTCATGCAAGATAGAGCGACATAACAACACGGTGAACGGGCACATGCCAATTGGTTTTTTTCGGCAACGTGTCGACAGTGTGACAGAGCATCATACATTGGACACTTCGCATTAAAGGCTTATGACAGCATAATTCTCGCTATGCGTTCCTAATTGTCTGGGAATGCTGATTCTTGATAATGTTATTCCCTTAATACTGCTTCTCTCTCCTTAATACTGCTTCTCTCCTGTTAATACTGCTTTTCCCGCTAATACTGCTTCTCTCCCCTTAATACTGCTTCTCTCCCCTTAATACTGCTTCTGTTCCCTAAATACTGCTTCTCTCCCCTTAATACTGCTTCTCTCCCTTAATACTGCTTCTCTCCCCTTAATACTGCTTCTCTCCCCTTAATACTGCTTCTGTCCCTTTAATATTGCTTCTCTCCCCTTAATACTGCTTCTCTCCCCTTAATACTGCTTCTGTCCCCTTAATATTGCTTCTCTCCCCTTAATACTGCTTCTCTCCCCTTAATACTGCTTCTCTCCCCTTAATACTGCTTCTCTCCCCTTAATACTGCTTCTCTCCCCTTAATACTGCTTCTCTNCGGCGGAAGCTGACGATGGCTCGGACGCCGCATGGGGCTGGTTCCCCGTCGACCGATGCCTGTCCAAGATGATTCCTTTGCGGTCCGAGAGGGTAGGAGCCGTGGCGCCCTCTGTAGTTGCTGAGAACTAAGTATCGCGAGACTAGAGGATGTAACGCATCTAATCGTGATATCGCCGATATTCACGATTTTTTCATCCGAATCGCGATCACGAGTTTTCACGGCAATGAATAACCGCGATATTCGATTTTTTTTGTAGATTTTTCAATTTTTTTTTTTTTTTTTTTAAACGATATTTAGATCGATTTTATTTAGTATGTAAGTTGGCACTATCTTGAAAGTTGAAAAAGACTCGTTACTTATGTTATTCATGCTTATAGACAGGCAGTCTTCGTATAATTTATATGTGTTGCCTTTTGACAACTTGCTCATTGCTCATTGCTGATTGTCATTGTTTAACAGGCATGGATATTAGTTTGGGTTGCTATGATGTTAGTGTACTATGTCTAAATTATCATGAGTCATGAGTACTACATTCTAGTCTTGTATTTTTTTAGAACAGCTATTACTTTGTTTACTTTGTTCATTGGTTAATGTTATATGTCTATTCACACTCACTCACACAGTCCGTAGTGACTAGTGAGTTGACATTGTTAGTCGGTGTTAACTTGACTTGCTCAGATAAAGAATGATTCAACTTCATTATATAAATAACATACAAAACATATAGTGTTGTTTGGACGCTTTGATTATAATCACACACATTGCCTAGAAAACTATTAGGCGGTTTTTGACTCTGACAAAAAAAATGTGTTTTGTCTTTATGCGAAAAAATCGAATCGTGAATCGCAATCGTGATGCATGAATCCGTGAATCGCAAATCGAATCGTGGGCATGTGTATCGTTACACCTCGTAGGGCCGCAGACTAAGTTAGTTTTGCTTGCCCGCAGGCCGAACGTGCTTCGGTCGTGCGTTATGATTTATTGGTTCCAGTTTCCATCGGCACTGGTGTTAAGAATTGAAATGACATGACATTCCAGCATAATGTTAATTTAAATTAATTTAGTGTTTAGTTTCGTGTGATTCAGGAACCAAATTGATACATAGTCCGAATTATGGTGCATTGCGTGCGTGTATGTATAGATCACATTTTATTATATGCTTATAATATATAGATATAGATGTTTGTAAGTCTTACAGCAGCTTGTGTCACGCCTGCATGTTTTGCACAGGATGACAAGGTCGGAAGAATCCTAAGCCGATTACAGCGATGCCTCTCCGCTAAACACTCGCTTTCTAATCGACGAAAGACAAGATCGTTCACGCTGATACGCGCGAGGCAGAACTTCTTATGCCGGGCGGTGAATCACCTCACTCTGTTGAAGTTTATAATCACTCGTACCGAATTTTTAACGATTTCAGCGTGATCGTGCCTTCCTAGAATTGAAGAGAGCACTTGCCGTTGTTACAATTTGAATTCTATGACCTCGTTTTAACCTTACGAATGAAGCTAGCAGCGCTTTACTCTTTGAACAGACAAAAAATCTGCAAATTAATTCTCTCTTCGTGTAAACGAAATGTTTTACACCTGAACATACAGCCTCAGCCAGGGTTAATCACCACTGTCTCCACTCTACAGCTAACTTGTGATGCTAGGGCTTGGCATTCCCAACGTAGACACTTTGGTATTCACTAGACTGGTCACACCGGCGTTAATGCAGTACCTTTATAGCATCTGAAATACCATCTACAATGAACAGATGTTCCTTTAACGGACCCATACAATGAAGGTTTGTACGTGTACTGATGTTTCTCTCTGCCGTTCTCTCCCCTTAATACTGCTCCTCTCCTTAGATACTGCTGCTCTCCCTTAATACTTGCTTCTCTCTCCTCTAATACTGCTTCTCTTCCCCTTAATACTGCTTCTACTCCCCTTAATACTGCTTCTCTCCCCTTAATACTGCTTCTCTCCCCTTAAGACTGCTTCATCTACCCCTAATAACTGCTTCTCTCCCCCTTAATACTGCTTCTCTCCCCTTATACTGCTTCTCTCCCCTTAATTAGGCTCTTCTTCTCCCCTTAATAGCGCTTCTCTCTCCCCTTTTATACGCTTCTTCTCCCCTTAATACTGCTTCTCTCCCCTTAATAACTGCTTCTCCTCCCTTATACTGCTTCCTCCCTTAATTACTGCCCTTCTCTCCCTTAATACTGCTTCTTCTCCCTTAATACTGCTTCTCTCCCCTTAAATACTGCTCGCTCCCCTTATACCTGCTTCTCTCTCCTTAATTACCTGCTTCTCTCCTGCGTAAGTACTGCTTCTCCTCCCCTCAATACTGCTTCTGTCCCCTTATACTGCCTTCTCTTCCCTTAATACTGCTTCTCTCTTCCTTAATATGCCCTTCTCCCCCTTAATACTGCTTCTCTTCCCTTATACTGCTTCTCTCCCCCTAATAACTGCTTTTCTCTCCCTTATTACTGCTTCTCTTCCCTTATACTGCTTCTCTCCCTGAAATACTGCTTTCTCTTCTCACTTAATACTGCCTTCTCTCCCCTTGAATACCGCTTCTCTCCCGTTAATACTGCCTTCTCCCCCCTTAATAAACTGCTTCTCTTCTTAATACTGCTTCTCTCCCCTTAATACTGCCTTCTCTCCCCTTAATCACCGCATTACTCATCCGCTTAATACTGCCTTCTCTCTCCCCTTAAATACTGCTTCTCTCCCCGTTAATACTGCTTCTTCCTTCTCTCTTAATACCTGCTTCTCTTCCCTTATACTGGCTTCTCTCCCTTAAATAACTGCTTCTCTCCCCTTAATACTGCTTCTCTCCACCTTTAACTGCTTCTCTCCCGTGAATACTGCTATCTTCTCCCCTTAATACTGCCTTCTCCATCCTTAATACTGCTTCTCTCATCCTTAATACTGCTTCTCTCCCCCTTATATACTGCTTCTCTCCCTTAATACTGCTTTCTTCCCTTAATTACTGCGTTCTCTCCCCTAATACTGCTTCTCTCCCTAATACTGCTTCGCTCCCCCCCCTTAAGACTGCTTTCTCCCCCTTAATACTGCCTATCTCTCCCCTTAATACTGCTTCTCGGTCTCCTTAATACTGCTTATACTCTGCCCTTCAATACTGCTTCTCTCCCCTTAATCACTTGCTTCTCTCCCCTTAAGACTGCGTCTTTCCCTTTAATACTGCCTTCTCTCTCCTTAATACTGCTTCTCTCCCTTAATAGCTGCCTTCTTCCCTTAATCTACTGCTTCTCGCCCCAATACTGCCTTTTCCCTTAATACTGCCTTCTCTCCCCTTAATACTGCGATTCTCTCCCCTTAATACTGCTATCTCTCCCCTCTAATACTGCTTGCTCTCCCTTAAATACTGCCCTTCTCTCTCCTATAATTACTTGCCTCTCTTCCCTTATACTGCCTTCTCTCCCCTTAATACTGCTTCTCTCCCCTTAATACTGCTTCTCTCTCCTTAATACTGCTTCTCTCCCCTTAATACTGCTTCTCTCTCCTTAATACTGCTTCTCTCTCCTTAATACTGCTTCTCTCCCCTTAATACTGCTTCTCTTCCCTTGACACCGCTTCTCTCCCCTTCATACTGCTTCTCTCTCGCGTCGCTGCAGTGGCTGGAGTCCGGGTTTTCGACGCAGTGGTGTTATGAGAACTTCATCCAGCATCGGTCGATGCGGCGGGCGAGGGACGTCCGTGAGCAGCTAGAGAACCTCATGCAGCGGGTCGAGATCGAGATCACGTCGACGCCCGACGACACCGTCAACATCAGAAAGGTAGGGGGCGCCACGGGCATCCGTACACGTCGCCGTATGACGCAGCACTTTCGGTTCGAGATTTGTCGAGCATACGTGTTTTTTTTGGTGGAGGGGGGGGGGGTTGATTATCTGTATGAGCTATCAGGTATCACTGAAATCTGTTTGATTCCTGAATATAGTTGTTGATTGAAGTGTTGAAGATACAAATGATGCAGATAACTGTTGGTGACAACTTTGGCCGAGATTTCGAATTGGGGAAGGGCATTATGATAGTATAGTCTCACTAAAACTGGCTGCTAAGTTTAAATTTCATAAAATATCATTCTTTAATTGTATATGTATTTCTTGTCTAAAGAATGACATCACAATGCCTCTGGTGTAGCGTTATTGCAGATATCTTTATAGCTTTATTTCATTTTTCCTACCCTTAGCCTAAAGGCTAGGACACACTAGCGATTCTGTACGCTGCCCGGCAGCGTATATTTTCGCTCACGATTTTAGAACGCCGTACGAGTTGCGCGTACAGCTGCACACACTGTCGGGTGTCCAATCACTCCAACGGGTTTCCTAGCTTTTGTTGCTACACTTGATTGGCTGCTAAAAACAATCGCATTCGAACACGATTGTTCATTGTTGGGCGCGCTGGTGCAAGCGCATGCAAGCGATAGAAAACCGTGCAGAAATATTCAACATGTTGAATGCGAGCGATCAGCCAGGCGTATGGGATCGCGTGCGAAATACGCTGCCGTGAGACCGGACACACCGCGCGGACCCGGCACCGTATTTATCGATTGCAAGCGGCCAGCGTAGAAAATCGCACAGTGTGTCCTAGGCTTAAGACGTATGTCGTTGCAATATCGCCATATTCGGGATGGTATATATGTCAGTATTACACCGTGTATGTACCCCGCGTCATGTTTTATGTCTATATATTTACATACGTGCATCTACGTGGGCGTTCTTTGCAGGCGATCACGGCTGGATTCTTCTACCACACAGCGAGGATGGGTAGAGGCGGACAGTACAAGACGGTGAAGCATCACCAGACGGTGATGGTACACCCTAACAGTAGTTTGTTTGAGGAGCATCCACGTTGGCTCATCTATCATGAACTTGTCTTCACCACTAAGGAGTTCATGCGACAGGTGCGTGTCTGCTGACCCTAGCTCCGGCCACAATTAAAAAATTATTTGTTTGCCCTCACCCGACCCACGCTGAAAAGTTTGGGTAGGAAGGTCGGCTTTTCTTCTTTCTTTTTTTTGAGGGGGGGTCTTTTCACAAATTGAGCATGGTGTCTACATGCTTGGGTGTGCTTCTGTGGAGATACCTTTTATGTTGAATGTTTGTTTTGCTTGGTAGTTGGTACATATAATGTATTGCCTACAGATTTATATAATGTACAGTGATACAATTTGTAAAAAAAAAAGAAAGAGAAAGATCAATAAAAAATTTTGAGTCGGCCCTTTTTGGCGGGTCGGTCGGGTGAGGGCAAACAAACAATATTTTTATTATGGCCTCAGATCATCACGTTTTTAGCTCATCTGACATAGTCAGATGCAGCTTGTAGAATCGCATGACCGTCCGTCCGTCCGGTCGTCCGTCCGTCCGTCCGTCCGTCAACAGTTGGGCACAAATCTTAACCGCTCGACGTATGGTCACGATATTCGGGTCGTTGGGGGGGATCGTCAAAACGAGTTGGGATGTCGAAGCTGGGGGTCAAAGGTCAAAGGTCAAGAGGTGTAAAAGAAGGGGGAACATTCACTCCTTAACTTAAGGTATAGGGAGGAAATGCATAATTGCGGCACAAATCTAAACGGCTCGACCTAGGCTCGTGATAGTCGGTGTATAGCATCATGGTAGGAAAAGCCATCACTGTGCCGAAATTGGAGGTCACAGGTCAAAGGTCAATGGGCACAAGGCAGATTTTAGACATTTTCTGAGGACATGGTCTGACGGAGCGATTGAAAAACTTTTTTGTTTCAGCGGTGACCTAGCATTTTTATGGCTTTATTGAAAGGACCATGAAATGTCCCTTCTGCTGACATGCGAAGAGTAAGTGTCGGATAACCTTTTGACCCTCAAGAGGAGGGTTAAACTTGGATTTGTTGACTGTCTGTTAGAAAGAATTTGACTGCCGGGTTTGCTAGTAGAATCTATACATGCCTGGATGTATGAGGCTACAATGTCACAGTGAAATTTCAAAAGCTAAATTTGGTTAAAGAAGGTGTATGTTCCTTAAATCGTATAATTTCTATGTCATTCTGTACTGTCAGTATGTTACATGTAACGTATGCCACTGGTGGCTGCAGTTTTTGCCTGCGTTAATTGGTTGCAGGTGGCAGCTCTCTATTGCAATTTGCAGCCTGTAGGCTTGCGTAGGTAAATGGATGAGTGCTTACCTATTCTGTCTTGCAAATAGTTGTTGCTACTACGAATGATGGGAGCTTCCATCTTTAATCTGAAGACACTTAAACGTACGCGCCATCTCGTGGCAACTTTCATAACGATCCCAACGAACATTCTTTTGAGAAGGTTCCTGATACCATCCCTGTGCATTCCACTGTTTCGGCGTGTATGTGAACACATTTGGGACTAACAGGGTTTACTAGAATCCCACCACTCCACCACAGAGTCACCGCAGTAGACGTTAGATGAGCGCTGTCGCTATGCGGCACTTGTTAGTTATTCGTTTTTTATTTATTCATTTACCTGTTGAACAGTTTTACTTCATGACAAAATTCTAGTCAGAGACCAGGTTGGGGTGTTGGTACCAAAACAAAAACCATGGTTTTGCCCATGTCAGTCAAGCTACTTTACATAGGAGCACAATTTTATTGTACTGTGTGAAAGTTTAAAATAGCTGAATTGGTGCATAAATGTCAGAAATTAAACTGAAGAAGCAATATTAACCGTTGTCGCCATTGTAATTGAGTTGTTTGCTATGCAGTGACAGTGCGTCACTCGGCAACCATAATGAAGAGGTTTATGTAGTACGTTGTTATTGTTGTAGGTGGTGGAGATAGAGAATCAATGGCTTCTAGAGGCTGCACCACATTACTACAAGGCCAAGGATCTCGAAGATCCGTCCGGAAAGAAGATGCCGAAAAACACAGGAAAAGCTCGTGATGATGTCACGAGAACTTACACATGACGTGATGATGTCACGAGAACTTACACATGACGTGATGATGTCACGAGAACTTACACATGACGTGATGATGTCACGAGAACTTACACATGACGTGATGATGTCACGAGAACTTACACATGATATCACACAACCATGTCATTCCCTCTGTACATATGTGACCTTGGCAGAGATGATTGGTAAATCTAGAGTTGTAGTATGCCATACTACGTGTATGTTACAGGTACCACCATGAACCATGTATGTAAACACATTATTTGTATACAAAGTATCTGTAGATAAGGCCGACCAAAAAATTTCCTTTGGTTCGGGTCACCCGCCCGACTTCACATTTCGGAGTGAAAAAATGTGCGACTGCGGTAACTTTTAAAAAATTAATTTTTTTTTTTTAATTTGCATCTCTTTTTTTAAACCTGCATTTCAAGCTGCCTTCAATGTCTTCAAGCTGCAGTTCAAGCTGTATATTTAACTTGTGAAAAAAAAGAAAAAAAGTTATATCTACCTACCTACCCTAATTTTCACAATCCATGTGACCCGAACCAAAGGTATTTTTTAGTTTGGCCTAAGACACTAATGCATTGTTAATTCAGCGTTTAGTGAGCATTAGTCCACCTGACCTATTTTAGATAAGAGACTTATCTGCCTTGGAGACTATCAATACATTTGTATAGTATATTATATTCATTGTAGTATCTATGTATATATGTGCAGGAAAAAAAGAGAACTCTCATGTAAAATTGCCATGTTTTTGTGTAATTATTCACTTCTTACCAACTGTTAGCTCTGGTATGGGTATAATTAGTTGGTAGAGGGATAAATATTGAACAACAAGATCACTGCACTTGTGATGATGAGAATAAAAAAAGGTGCTGTGAACAAGAGAAGAGTCAGTGAAGTGCTACTGTTAACTACGTGGTAAAGCTTCATAGCAGTGTGGATTATTATGGCATCTTGACGTATCACTGAATAAGTGAACATTACAAAAGGATGTTGTAGCTATATATCAACCGCACAGCTCTGCACTATAGTTCACAACAGTTTAGAAAACGACTTTTACACAGATCTTATTTAATTAGAACTGTGAACTATGAACTAAATGACTATATGAATATGACTATGAAAGTTCCATTAAAAAAAAAAGAAGATTTTAAGATTAATTTAATGAAACCATTCTACCTCTGCAATAACTTTGCAGATTGCTAAACCATTGCAAATTTAGTAATGGCTGTGATGATGGCTATCACAGAACATCACAACAACACATATACTCACCAACTCACACATTCTCTTGTAAACTGTTAATTGTATTTACCGGTTTCAAAATAAAAAAATCAAATATAATGAACTTGAGAATAACGAATAGGATAATAACTACACATGACAATTAATTCAAAAATAATTTGGCATTTAAGCCGTAAGACGCGTTTTCATTAGGCATTAACAATATGAGGAAACCAGTAATAGTACTCCAGTTATAAAATCTATTATATTTATATATAGAGAGAGAATTTCTGGGCCTTAACTATAACATGACAATGCATAGCTAAAGTGAAACTGTTACTAGTCATTGCGGAACATTGCCATGTACTAAAAATATATATATAATATATTTACACAAAGAAAATATATATGAGACTTCCAAGACTCCAACCAATCACAAACTACTGCAAGATATTAGCTCCCTCAGGGACGCACTCTTAAAAAACAATGACACAGTGACACAGTGACTGAGCCAATCTAAACTTAACCTGACCACATGCAACTACCAAAATCCAGTTTCATTGCTGTTTTAGTTCCATTTCATTTTGCACTATTGATACCAAAATATATATATGATGAAACTATTATGCAAGGTGGTACAATACTGTCGAGTAGACCTAATCATGAAAATATAGACTATTTCTACATCAAATACAAAGCCAAACACATTTCACAAATATAGAATGCTCCCTACAGGTGTTCCGAAACATCGGTAACACAATTGCATCAAATTATGAAAATTATATCCAGATTGACACAAGGCACATTAAATGCAAAGAACTTTTCAATTTTAACATTTAGAAGGAGATATTTATTATCTAATGTAGCATTATATAGTATTTTTATCACGTTTGTACATACCAATAAAGGAAAACATTCCAGAGAACGTCCCAGTGCTACATTAGCCACTTGACTTCCGTTTTTGCTCTAAATTTTTTCTCAATCATCAAACCTTATACTAAATGCAAGTTTAGGTTACGCTGTCTTATCACACCCTGATTAAGAGCACACGTTTGAGACACATTCTTCTTGGAGTTTTGAACAAACTGCTTGAAAAAATAACAAATTTTGCATGTACTGTCTCATACATTTAAAAATACGGAGCAACATATCTGTACACGCCTTCTGCAACAAGACCCTCACTTTTAATAGCAAAACTAGAAAGCTTTAATTATAGCACTTTTTAACTTTTCAAGGAATTTCATTTGCATAGCCTTTTCCATCACCTGTATCAAATAGCATTGGTCAACAATAGCATGAGCCTTTTGCGCACACAATTTTAGCCGTCCATTCATATAAAAAAATGTGGGGTTTTCATTACTATACCTATACACACAGCAAACATGCAAACCTGGGCCATGCTCTCTCTGGCAGCCCACCATACTACCTGGCAGCGGAAAAAATACCTGGGAGCGGCGAGCGATTTCGCTCCCGTCAGCTTTCAAAGCGCTCTGGTAACAACAATTACGAGAGCGAAAATTTTGGAAGATACGAGAAAAAATCGCTCCCGTGCCGCCGGCAGCGTTAGAAATTAGTTCCGATCCCGGAGGCTCGAGCCCACCAAGTTTTTGCTCGGGCATTAACAATAAGTTTTTATATCGCAGGGGTTAATTATCGTGGGGAGGAGTGAGGGCACGACCAGTGACACCAGACACGCGCGTAACCAAAGCTGTTAACTGAATTCGTCACTGACTTGTAGAAAGTGAACTATTTTTATTCATTTAGATATCTAGAAGCAATGTAAACTGTATATACTTAAAAAGATTCTAGGCACTTGTAACTTTGCGGATGTGCGGCAGCATCGATCTATGCATGGGGGTACCGTGGACTGGGGAGGAGAAAAACGAAAGTAAAACCTTACCCAGAAGCTCCCGGCATTCCTAGAGATTCCAGTACAAGTCTTTTTTAACATACTCAAAGTAACTAAAAACTCTCTCTGAAGTTCAGAACTTGCTCAGTCGATGTAAAAATAAAGTTGAAAGATGAAAAGAAATAAAGTAAAAAAAAGAAACTTGAAAATAACCATACCATCATTACCATGATTATAATTCTTGATTTCCTGTCTTTGTCATGTTACCTGACTATGTGTACTGTGTGTCTGTGTGAATGAAATTGAATAAGAATGTGATTGGTTTCTTAGTCGAGTAAAATGAGATTTTAAAAATTGATCGAATGCGTATTCTTGACGATTCTTACCACACTGATAGTCTTATCACTCGTGTTGACGTGCTGAAATGCTGAATGGAATGACTATTAATGAGAGTTCAGTGCAGTTGTCAAAAAATAAGATAAATTCTAACAAACATGCAGTTAAAAATAGCCTCACTTGCCAACGCTCCTAAAATAAGCTCACCAAAAAAAATTTACGAGAGCTCTTTTTTCAACAAAATCAAATAAAAGCTCCGTAAAAAAAATAGTAATTTAGCGCTACCTGCATGGCAAACTCATTGGCCCATTGGTCTAGCTGTCAGACCGTAAACAATAGCGTCGAAGTACAAACTAGAAACATGATGAGACCAGTCAACACACGGGCGCTGCGAGATGTAGCGAGCTAGAAAATAGCAGCTTTTCACATAAAAGTGTCAGCAACCAAGCTTTCTCTCAGCTGAAACAAACTTAATAACTGTACAACTGAATCAGTACAGATTTACACATCGAAATCTACACCACCGTAAGTAAACGTAAACTGCAAAAAATTGGTTTCAACGTGATCATGCAACCACTGTAGACTAAATCTTACTTTACTAGAACTACTCACCGGGGGCTAGTCTAGGCGACTCATAACTAGAACCCAAACTGCATAACCACCACTTTATATGCACTGGGCATCACAGCCCACACTACAATAATGGACCAACTGGTGGAATAAGCCAATATTATCTACTGCATCAAATCCACGCACACTCCACGCCACGACCTAACCTTGTCCTACCCTAAATTTGAATTTTACCATGACGATGACGTGCATCATGATGAGGTCATTAGCGATAGCTGTTACCATGACGATGACGTGATGCAAAACAAGGTTACTAGCCGGATTGCCGTGTGATGACAATGTAATACCGATACCCTGAACGGCTTCGCCTAAATGCAATAAGCATTAAGATGTTGTGGACAAAACACATCTAATCTTAATTCTGAATGGCAATTCCTGGCAATTCTGCACGAGGCCAAAAAATACAATAAACTTACAATAATTGACAAAAAAATTTTGTTCCGATCACAGTGAAATTCAGAGTTAACAAACGGTCGTATGGCTCAAAAAGAAAGAAAATTCGTATTAAAAACGATAGAAGTATATTGGGCATCTCTGCTTAAACTTCCACAAACACAATCTTATTGGCCTGCACAGCCGCGACGATCCTCATCTTACACACCTTCAGAATCACTCATTAAGCCAAGGCATTATCAGTCCACATCATCATTACGCCAGGTCGTAGCTACCATTGGTAATCAATCATCATCCAACTATCAGCAAACCAACTCATCATCATCAGCACCATCGTCATCATCATTAGCACCATTGTCATCATCATCATCATTATCGTCATCATCGTTATCATCATCATTATCGTCATCGTCGTCACCATCGTTATCATCGCAGCCACTTCTTGATACAGTTGTCGAACACTGTCTGGTTCTTGTGCCAGAGCACATGCTCAACGCCGGGCACCGTGTAGGTGGTGATCGCCTTGCGCTTGTCCAGCGTTCGTAGTCCAAACACGTCGTGTGCGTAGACCTTCTGACGTCGCATCTCTACGACCGTCTCGTTCTTGTCGAACATTCCAAACTGACTGCGAGTGTGAAAGAAGGAGAGAGAAAACGAAACCCACATGTAAAAGAATTAAAGAAGAAGTTGCCGTCAAATCTAAGCATGCAAGGCGTGCAATGATGCATCTCTTTTAGAAAGATATCCCTGTGCAATCAATATACACAGTGGAATTTACAATGATTGATCTTGTAAACTTCAATGTAAAACATCAAAATTCAGAGAACACACTTCATCTTCGGTGATCTCTTGTATTTTGCAAGACCCTGTACAATCTCAACATGGGACAAATGACTATGTATTTTCCATTATGCATACCTTGATTGCCATGGACTGATAACTCCATCATCGGGCCCACCAATCAAAACCAAATGATTGATCTTCAGGAAGTTACGTTTCCATTCTGTTAAACAATAATAAATTAACTTTAGATACATTAGTTGAACAGGGATATAGACATTAACCAATATAGATGTACACAAACGTATACACCCATGATTCTAGGATGGACATTGAAGATCATCATAATATCAATGCAGACGGTTTAATCCATATGCTATGTTATAATTTATAACAAGTGTGTACAGCATGTACAGTAATTATTATGAGAGAAAACACTGAAAGACTTACGTGTGGCTCTTATATTTTTCTTGGCAGATTCTCCATTGAGCAATGCTAGGTAATCACTGTACTTTTGGAAGAGGTTTCTATGATGAGGATCTGCAATATTATTATAATTATTACTTCGAAAAGTTTAGTTTACTTCGAACCTTGGAGTGATCAGAATCAATACACATAGAAAACACAAATAACCATTATATTATATTACATTACATTACATTACATTTATATTATATTATGTAGATGGATTTTGTGGCTTTATTGCACTCTCCGAAAGCTATACCATCACAATTGAAAGAGTGAAATTATCATTGCATTTTACTCACCATTCCAATAATTGGCTATAGAGAAATGCTGTCCGTACGTAGAGTAGAAAAACCTACAATAATACAAGAATCGCATCTTACAATAATGTAAAAACTACTTAATTGTGAATCAGTTGTGCATGCCATAGCTTATTCATAGTAGCACAATTTACTATAAAGATTAATCACCACGAGTCCAGACTCCACGACACCCAAGTCGCAAAGGTTAGGTGCATAGTACTAAGTTCCCAGTTTATAGTTATCTATTTATATAATTATATATGATTTTCTAATTATATTTACTCCACCATACTCTATATGGATACACATACATATGTATGATATATGAATATATATATAGGCACACATTTTACACACAAATAAAGGACAATTAACAGATTTTAGTATCAGTATCATTTTCTAGTTAATTCCAGCTGATGATAAGAAAGCTTACTCATATATGTGATGCTTTGTAAAGTGTGGAAAAAAGAAGCGTAGGTAGCTCGTATCGCCGAATTGACCCATCAAGGGAGAACTGAGGGCTATAAACGTATCAACGTTGTGATAGGGAAGCACACTAAGCACTCCTCTGCATATCAGACCACCTGAAATGTAGAATTACATATAGTCATTAGCATTTAATCAAACATTGTCCAAACAAATGAATTAAACGTTCTTAAATGACGACCAAAATCTAAAAACATGAACGGTCCTATGTCTTATTCCTGCAACATTTGGTGACTTGACCACCATTCACACACAAAACACAAAGATAAGATTGATAGGATGTAGTTTGACGTTACAGTTTTGGTTACTGTATACGCTGTATGTTTCGCGGTGGTTTAATTTTCGCGAACACGTCCCCGACTGCGAAAATAACAACATGCAAATAATTCATAATTCACCGACCGCGAAACTAACCACTCGCAAAATTGTCCGTCATGTCTGAATTCGCGAAAATATCTGTACGTGAAAAATATGGCGTATGCAGTAGCCACATGTCAGCTTCTTACCTTGTGAGTAGCATATGAGATGAACACCATCCTTGCTGGCATTCATCATAGCTCCCATCTTCTGCGAGTAGTCACTGACCTGTGTCCACATCCGTGTGAAGCTCTCAGCATCATTGTAGAGGTCCACGATGGTCACGTTTGTTCCAGGGTGTGCCTGTGTCATTACCAAATGTTGAATGTTGACTCCCTCTCCAACCTTTCCCTCTCTCTCTCTCTCTCTCTCGCTCTCTCGCTCTGTCGATGACTCTCTCTCTCTCTGTCGATGTCTATCTCTCTCTCTCTGTCGATGTCTCTCTCTCTCTGTCGATGTCTCTCTCTCTCTCTCTGTCTCTGTCGATTTCCCTCTCTCTCTCTCTCTCTCTCTCTCTCTGTCGATCTCTCCCTCTCTCTCTCTCTGTCGATCTCCCTCTCTCTCTCTCTCTCTGTCGATCTCCCTCTCTCTCTCTCTCTC